AGATGTAGAGAAAATGGTAAAGGAGGTTGGAGTAACGCGCAACCAGGCAGGGAAGTAGCTCTTCAAGATGATAGGGCTCAATGTTATGCTTTTCAAGGCAAGACTGAGGTGGAGGCATCTGATGCGGTGATCACATGTACTATTCTTGTATATGACCGGATGGTTAATGTGTTATTTGATCCGGGTTCTACTTATTCCTATGTATCTGTGCATTTTACCTCCGAGTTTGATATGATTTGTGATGTACTTGATGCCCCTATTGGTGTTTCTACCCCACTTGGAGAGTCAGTCATAGTCACCCATGTCTATCATTGTTGTCCTATTTTGTTTGTTGGTTTTCAGACTTGGGTTGATTTGGTGATTTTGGATTTGATTGACTTTGACATAATCTTAGGCAGGACTTGGTTGTCCCCCTATTATGTTGTGCTTAATTGTAATACTAAGTCTGTAACTCTAGAAATTCTGGGAAGGGGTATACAAGCCTAAGCAAGCTAAGATTATATCCTCCATTCAGGCTAGTAAATTAGTAGAGTAGGGTTGTTTGGCTTATTTGGCTCATGTATGTCAAGATTGAGGCTCCATCCATTGGGTCTATGCTTGTAGAGTCTGAATTTAGCAAAGTGTTTCCGAATGATTTGCCGGGTATGCCTCCGGATAGAGACATAGATTATTGCATTAATTTAGAGCCTGGTACGCACCCCATTTCTATCTCTCCATAACGCATGGCTCTTGCTGAATTAAGAGAGCTTAAGGCTCAAATCCAAGAGCTTCTGGATAAAGGATTTATTTGTCCTAGTGCTTCCCCTTGTGGTTCTCTGGTATTGGTTGTTAATAAAAATGATGGTAGTATGAGGATGTGTGTAGATTACCGGTAATTAAATAGAGTCACTATTTGAAGCAAGAATTCTTTGCCTCAAATAGATGATTTTTTTGACCGATTGCAAGGTGCATCCATTTTCTCTAAGATTGATTTGAGATCCTGTTACCATCAATTGAAAATTAGGCATGCAGATATACCCAAGACGACATTTAGAACTCGTTATGGGCACTATGAGTTTTTGGTTATGTCTTTTGGTTTGATCAATGCACCTGTAGCTTTAATGAGTTTGATGAATGGGGTGTTCAAACCGTTTCTTGATTCGTTTGTTATTGTTTTTATAGATGATATTTTGGTTTATTCGAAAAGTGAAGAAGAGCATGCCAACCATCTTCGTATTTGTTTTGTGTGTTCTTGGGAAGCAAATGCTATATGCTAAATTTTCTAAGTGTGAATTTTGGTTAAAATCAGTAGCATTTTTGGTACATGTAATTTCAAATAAAGGTGTAATGGAAAATCCTCAAAAGATTGAAGCGGTTAAGAATTGGGTTAGGCCTACCTCTGTGACGAAAGTTTGGAGTTTTGTGGGACTCACTAGTTATTATCGTCGATTTGTTAAGAATTTTGCTTCCATTGCTACTCACTTGACTAATTTGACCAAAAAAGAGATAACATTTGAATGGACTGAAAAGTGTGAATAGAGCTTACGAAAGCTCAAGACTCTCTTGACCACCGCGCCCATTAAAGCCTTATCGATTGAAGGTAAGGATTTTATTATTTATTGTGATACTTCACATTCTGGTTTGGCTGTTGTGTTGATGGAGGATAACAATGTTATAGATTATGCCTCGCGTCAATTGAAGGTGCATGAGAGGAATTACCCAACACATGATTTAGAGTTGGCAGCAGTACTGTTTGCTCTTAAAATATGGCGGCATTACCTCTATGGGGTCACGTGTGAGGTATTTACTAATCATCGTAGTTTGCAGCATGTGTTCACACAAAAGGATCTGAATTTGAGATAGCGAAGGTGGATGGAGTTACTTAAAGATTATGACGTGGCCATTCAATACCAACCTGGCAAGATTAATATGGTGGCAGATGCTTTGAGTCGGAAAGCGGTGAGTATGTGTAGTTTAGCTTGCTTAAGTCTATACAAGAGACCTTTAGCTAAGGAAATTCAAACCTTAGAGTCTAAGTTCATGCAGTGGGGCATCTCAAAAAGAGGTGGGGTGATGGGTAGTATTGAAGTAAGGGCCACTTTCATTCAAGATATCAAGGCCAAACAATTTGAGGATGAGAATTTGGAGGAGCTCAAAAAAAAGATTGCGTTAGGTAAGGTGCAAGAGACCACTCTTGATGCGGATGATATACTCAATTTTAAAGGAAGAATATGTGTTCCTAGAGTGGATGATTTGATTGAGAAATTGTTGGCGGAGTCTCAGGGTTCACGATACTCTATTCATTCGGGTGTGACCAAGATGTATAGATATTTGAAGCGAATTTATTGGTGGCCGGGCATGAAGAAGGACATAGCGGAGTTTGTGGCGAAGTGTCAAAATTGTCAAAAAGTGAAGTATGAAAATCAAAGGTCGGCAAGTTTACTTCAAAGAATACCAATTCACGAATGGAAGTGGGAAAGAATAGCCATGGATTTTGTGGTTGGTCTTCCCAAAACTTTGGGGAAGTTTGATTCTATTTGGGTAGTGCTTGATAGATTGACTAAGTCAACCCACTTTATTCTGGGTTTGGCCGCTCTGGCTGAGGCCCCATCGGCGAGATTAGGGTCGATGTGCCAGGTATGACGAGACTCAAAATCGTAGATGAAAGATGAATAGCTCATTGTTACGCAGAAGCCGCTGGGGCTGGGGTTCTGGTCGCTTTGGCAGGGCCGCTACATCGGGGTTAGTGGTGCTGTAGCAGGAGTGACATGACTTAAAGTCGTAAATAAACTCCTAAATGACCTTATTTGGCACTTTTAAACTTTTAAAACCAAGAAACGATTCCCAGGCGACTCCTACTCATTTTTCACTTTTCTTGAGGCTAAAGGTAAGTTTTTCATTCCCTGAATCCATTTTTCGATCCGTAGAACGTAATTGAATGGGTGAATATTGATGGAGGAGGGTTTTGTTATGGATTCTATGGTGGAAACAACCCTAATTTGGATAATTGAGATCATGGGTTTGATCTAGGGTTCGTAGAATTGTTAGTAATCTGGGTAATGATTGTTTATTGATTCTCATATTATATTGATTGTTTGTAGACCAAGAACAAGCTGAACGAATCCGGAAAAGGAATGATCAAGTTTCTTAGGATTTCAAGCTTGTTTCGAGGTAGTTGATGATTGTGATTCTATGATTATGTGTTGTATGCTTGTTCTTTTTCATTATGATACTTGTATGTATATGAATGTTGCAATGTTGATCACACTTGTTGTAACTGAGATATTGAATGATGATTGCCATGAAATCATGACTTAAATGTATGATCTTAATGATATACTTGTGATTGTGATTGTGTTGTGTGAGTGGGATCGGTTGCCACGTTCCGGCATAACTAACTTGGATTGGATTGCCACGTTCCCGCATAAATATGGGATCGATTGACATGTTCCAACATAACATTGGGATCGATTGCCACATTCCGTCACGCTAACTGTTTTGGTTTGGGTTCCATTAAAGGACGAATGATTTGACAAAAAATGTGAAATTGTTTGTTGTTCGTTGTTCGTAAATGTTGATAATATTGTATATGTTTATATATATGCATGTGATTATAATGTTGTTTGACTTGTTTATGTTGCACTAGTGAGATAGCTGTGTGATCCTACCAGTACATTGTGGTTGTGTACTGATTCTGCACTTGCTTTTATTCTTGTTGAGTACAGGGCATCTTCAAGCGGCTATTGACAGACCTCGTGTAACACCCCAAAAATGCTAACAAGAGTCGCATGTCGATAAACCACTTCTTAATTATTACAATATGTTTAATTCTCATGTTAGGAACTTGAAATAATGTTATATTTGCAACCTTGTTTAAAATAATTGTCATCGTAATTTAATGTATTGTATGGGGGTATTTACGTAATGTTTTAATTAGAAATATGTATAACTTCAAAAGGAGGTGAAGGATATTTATATATAGGTGTATATGTATGCATTTGGGCAGCACACAAGTATTTGGGCAACCAGTTTCTATGGACAACTGTGTATATGATAAGCACCTCATGTGTTACTATATTTTGACACCTCCTATTAGGAAATTCGTCTCACCTGAAGTATAAGTCCCTTAGAACATTATCTAACCGGTTGCTCTTCAAGATCACAAGAGAAAATCTTGGTCCTTTTGGCTGGAAATTGAGTTACACTCTTCTTTTTGGTAAGTGGAAAAACCTGTATTTGAGCTGGGTAACGTTTAGTAGATTAAGCATATCTCGTTCTATAGAACTTTGTTTACTGTTAATAAATATGATTTGGAAAAATAATTCGTATATGTACAACTCTTATGTTTATGTTAAACTCTAATTTAGTTGTTATGGATTCGAAATAAGGGACGCATCATAGGACCTGTTCTGTCTAGATTCTGATGTTTGAAATAGTGTATGGACAACTGTTAGTGTTTTGAATATATATTTTTATCCAAAATACATTTTGTGGTGATTCTTGGTTTTTTGCAACCTTAAGAGAGGTACCCACATCTTTCATGAAGAGTATATAGTCCAGTTTTGCCGTTTGCCATTTCAAATCTTATTTGCGACATGATGCACTAGGATGGCCAAAATTTACTATTTGGGAGAATAGTCGTATTTGTATAGGCTAGGCTTACTTGTGATGATAACCCTATTTTACGTCATCATTATTGTTCGCTTATATGGTTTATAATAATTGCATCGCATGTAGAGTGCATATGCATCTAGTACATAGCCCTAATGCAATGTGATCTTCCCTTTTGAAGGAATTAAGTTATGGCCATTTCTTCTGACCGACCTATGGAAGCTGCTCGTGAAGGTTCGGATGCCTCTTTTTCCCAACCTCATGCACTGGAAGGGGTTGGAGAACATAACTCGAATCATTATGTTCCCCACACTAGTGGTTCTGAAGTGGGATACCATTAGAGTGTAAGAGCTGATCCAAATCTTCACATGAGTCATGGTACTCAAACCATGAATCCTCATTTTCAACAAATGGCTGAATTGTTCCACCATATGGCTGAATCAATGCATGATCCCCATAGGATTAACTTTGAGAAAATGAGGAAAATGGGTGGAGTGGAGTTTGAAGGTACTGTTGATCCCACATATGCTGAACAATGGCTTGATCGCATGGAGAGGGTATTTGAGCAGTTGGACTGTTCAGATGTTGCCAAATTGAAGTATGCTATTTCACTATTACAAAATGATGCTTATGATTGGTGGGTAAGTGTTCCGAATGCCAAGTTAAAACCTTGTGTTCTTACTTGGGATGATTTTCTTAAGGAATTTTGTATGCAGTATGTCCCACATGCTTATTGTGATGCAAAGAAAAAGGCGTTTTTGAATGTAAGGCAACGAGGCATGTCTATTGCTGAATACGAACAAAATTTTCTAAGGCTCTCAAGCTATGCTGGTGGTATTATTAAAGAGGAAAAAGACAAGTGCAGGAAATTTGAAGACGATTTAAGTGATTCCATTAGGAAGAATGTGGCGATCCTGTAACATGAGAAATTTTGTATGTTAGTGTCTGCTGCTTTTACTTGGGAACGACTTTATAAAGAAGAAACTAGTAGAAATGAAAACAAATTCCGAAAGCCTAGACAAGATTTGGGGGGTCCATCCAAAAGGGGAAGGTTTGATAATTCTAAAGTTGGTAGTGATAACAGGCCACCTCAACAAAGGCAAAACGAATCAGAAGTTTCTACAACTAGCACTCCAAATTATGGCCAAGGTAAGCCTCGCGTTCCTAGTGTCCACAATGTGGAAAGAATCATTATGGCACTGGCAGAAGAGCTTCTGGTGCATGTTTCAATTGTGGGAGCTTTGATCATAAAGTGAAAGATTGTCCTAATCCTAGTAATGCTCCTTCCTTTAAAACTGAAGGCTCAGTTAATAAGACTTCTGTTAATCCTCCTCAAACTAACAGAGGTGCAAGACCTAGAAACACCCAGGCAACAGGTACAAGTGGAGTTAATCAAACTAGTGGGCAAAAGCCTACTGCACGCGCTTATGCGATGAGGCAGAAGAATGATCAAGATGAACAAGACGTGGTTGTCGGTAAATTTCACTTATTTGGCTTATGTGTGTTTACAATGTTTGATCCTGGTTCTACACACCCCTATATTTGTTCATCACTTGTTCTTCCCGAAAATGTGAAATCTGTGAGACTTGATTATAATATGCTAGTTGAAAGTCCTTTGGGTTATCAAGTTGTGTGTCATCGAGTTTACCAAGATTATCTCTTTGTGATTCAAAACCTAGTCTTTCATGCTGATTTGATTGAAATGCCCTTCAAGGATTTGGATGTTATTATCGGGATGTATTGACTTTATAAATATCATGCGGTGGTAGATTGTAGGTCTAAGCATGTGACTTTTAAAGATCCTACATTTTCACACATCATTGGACAAGGTGAAAGATTAGTGACATCTAGTATTATTTCTGCGGCCTTGGCAAGAAAGTTGATGCGTCAAGGTTGTGGGGCATACCTGGCTCACGTAGTTGATATACAATTGAAGAGTCCTTGTATCAAAGACAAACCTACTGTATGTGATTTTCCAGAAGTATTTCCAGAGAACCATCCAGGATTGCCCCCGGAAAGAGAAGTTAAATTTCCAATCGAGCTTATCCCTTGATCTACCCCTATTCTATCACTCCTTAGAGAATGGCTCCAGCAAAATTAAGAGAATTGAAATCTCAACTGCAAGAACTTCTTGAGAAAGGTTTTATTCGATCTAGTGTTTCTCCTTAGGGAGCCCCTGTTTTATTCATAAAGAAGAAAGATGGCATTCTTAGGCTTTGTATTGACTATAAACAATTGAAAAGATTAACAATCAAGAATAGATATCCACTGCCAAGGATCGATGATTTGTTTGACCAACTTAAGGGTCCTAAAGTATTCTCAAAATTTGATTTAGGGTCTGGATATCACCAACTACGGGTTAGAGAAAATGATATTCCTAAAACTGCTTTTAGAACTCGTTATAGTCATTATGAATTTTTGGTGATGCCATTCGGATGGACAAATGCTCCAGCGGTATTTATGGATCTAATGAATCAAGTATTCAAACTTTATCTTGATCAGTTTGTGCTTTTTTTTTAGATGATATTTTAATATTTTCCAGAAGTAATGAAGACCATAATAAACACCTCCGGATTATTTTGCAAATTTTGAGGGAGAAAGAGCTTTATGCTAAACTTTCCAAGTGTGAATTTTGGCTTGATGAAGTAGCTTTACTGGGACATGTTGTATCAACAAAAGGTGTGATGGTGGATCCTAGTAAGATACAAGCAGTTGTTGAATGGAGACCTCCTAAAAGTCCAACCGAGGTAAGAAGTTTCTTGGGCTTAGCAGGATACTATAGAAAATTTGTGAAAGGATTCTCCATTATCGCCTCCCCTTTGACCAAGCTCTTGCATAAGGAAGTAAAGTTTATTTTGTATAACCTTGGGACTTGTACATCATCTTTGTGTTGTATATTTACAGGAGATTTTGAGGGCTAATTTGGTCATGTCACCATGGATTGTAATATAAGTATGGTTATATGTTTTTATCTTTTTGGGGTGTGTAAACCCAAGTCTTGTAATATACTAATTTGCTATATGTCTTGAAAGTTGTGTGAAGCATGAGCCGGTTGATTTTGATACTCGGAAGCTTGTAATATTCTTGTTATTTCACCCTCGAGTGTGAGGTTAACATATGCATGAAGATCTTGTCGGTTAATTGCATAAATGTTATATTTTTTTGGAGTTCGTTATGAATCTAATCCCTCTACTATATTAAAATCAGTATGCCCTCATTAATTGGTTTTAAATGTCGCAAGTATTTAATTAGATTTCTTGTTTAAGTAGTGGTATCGTTTTGAAAGGATCGCTACACCTCGCATAGAAGATAAGTTATTGTCATTCGAATTCAAGAAAGAGCCAATTCTTCTAGGCTGCCATGGAATTCTCTTTCGTCTATGTCCACCATTTCCGGACTTAGACATTTGTTTAGTTAGTTCATTAGTTTGGAGTGTATCCCTTCTTGTTTAGACTTGGATCATTTGTTTAGATGTTTTGGTACATTGACTTTCAGGTTCTAGGTTATTCTTTCGCATTGTTACTTATTATTGTTAGACTTTTGTTAGAGTTTATGGGAACTCTCTATTCATTTCCTTAGTGTTTGATTTAAATTCCTTAGTTTTTAAATGTTTTGCTTGGTTTGGGTTGTAGTAGTGATTCTCCCATCGGAGTGTTAGTATGGGTACCAATCACCATGGTCTGGGTCGTGACAATAAAAGAGGTTAAAAGTTTGAATAATACCGTTATTTAAAAGGTGTATACTCAATAGGCTTACTTTCTTCCTCAATTATCTTTTTGAAATTATCGGGCTCATTTGAGGAAATGGGGCCAATTAAAGAACTAGGCTCAATTCCATTTAAAAGAGAACATTTGTCCCCATCAGAATATGAATACCCGCTACTATCGAAAGAAACAATATAGCCAATTGAATCTAAATCAGCACTAGTGATCATTGTTTGAGTAGATTTGATCCGATCCGGTGACCCATCAAACAAACCCAAATCCTTTTGTTCTTGTTCATCTTGTTCAACTTCATTTTTCATCGATGAATAATTGATATTTTTCTTATCAATCTCATTTGATTTCAAAGTTGGATGATTAGATGAAGTCAGATTCTCTGCAATATTTTTTCCCTTTGAGATTTGACCAAAACAACAAAAACAGAGAGAAATGAAAAGACTAATTGTTGGAAGATTCTTTTAAAAAGGATGTCCTTTGAAGTGTTGAGAAAAACAACAGGTACAAAAAGGGGATTTTTCTGTGTAGATGAAATCAAGAAAAGCACTAAATCTTGTGCCTTTTTTTATCTACAACGATTAGAATTTTGAAGAAATTTGGAGATTTTGAGAGGATGTACATTTTTACTTGAGAGTGATTACAAAGTTTTTTAACAGGTAGGATGGTTTTAAAATGGGAGGGAGATATATAGGGGTTTGGGTAGGGGTGGGGGTGGGGGTGGGGATTTGAAAAGTGAATTTGCCAACAACAGAAGTGATGAAATTTAGTGTGATTGTCTCACTTAGTAGATTATCTGAATTCCATGATATGACAATCACTTAACTATTGATAATTATTTCTTAAAGTCTTGCTTTTTTGCATCTTTTTTTTTAATTAGGTCACTTAACTTTATTTTTACCTTTTCAAAAGTCACGATATTAAATATTTGAATGAGCAAATTTAGTCCATTCAAACTTTTGTTTTCAATCTACACTACAGTAATGAATTATTCGATCTAATCCTAACTCATAACTTAAATTAAAATTATTTGCTAAACAATCCTGAGGGAAATTGCAATTTTTGCTCTCGACAAATGCTCTGGCATACTTATATTTTTTTAACGTAAGTATATATTTGCAGTTAATATTTAAATATTTGGATATATTTTAGCACGTGTATTGCTTCTTAATAACTTATGTTTTTTTTGTAACGTAGATTGCAAATTACATTAACACGTTTATTCAAATAATATATTTTATTGATGCATTTATGTGAATAAATATTTTCTCATTTTAATATGAGTTATTATTTATTTTTATTCTTAAAAATAAATACTACTCTTATCAAATTTACAAGTTATTGCAGGTTTTCATTTATTTAGGTTATGGTTAGGGTTGGATCGTAGTTTGTTGATACATGGATTGAAAAAGAAAACAAGTTCATGTAAACAAAATAAAATGAAATGTCATATTTTAATGATAAAATATTAATAGAGTTACTTTAGAAGATATATAAACAAACTTGGGTGACTTTCTAACTTTGTTACAAAAAAACATGACTTTGTTTGATAATTATCAATAGTTGAGTGACCTTTCAAGTCCTTATTTGCTTAATTCCTCCTCCTCCTCTCCTCCACACACACAATATACATGTTTTGCCTATATCACGTGATCTATGATTTTATTGAATTTATGACAGAAGCTTTATAGATGTTATATTATTAAATATTAAAAAGTAGGTTCTATTATTATTTTTTAAATCTACACATAAATTAACAAAAATGATAAGAACGCCTACTAAAATAGAGTATAGAAATATAACAAGTTGATATATCTTAAGGGGAGAAAATGTAGTAATAGTAATCTTTGATAAAATTTTTTATATTTTCTCCTAGTAACATTATGAATTTTTCATTCATATAATTACCTTTAAAAGGTTGATTGCTCTTTAAAAAGTATTTGCATATTTTGATTTTATTTTCAAAGACATATACATGCATGCATGCATAAATACATACATACATGCATACATACGCACATACGTAAATATTGTCACGCCCCAAGACTACCCCTAAACGCAACACAGTGCTTAGTGTCACAAGTAACCCCAAGCCAACCCATGGCATGACATATCTTTACAAGTACAATCAAATTGCACTGTACAAAAGATAAAAATAGTTTAATATCTATAATTGGGAAAAGCCCAATATGTCTGAATATATAAAATATATGAACAGTATAGTGGTGACTGAAAACAACAATAACAACTCAAATGAAATCTACTCTATGTTTGAAAGCCTCTAACAAATTTGAGTTACTGGGAAATTGCCCCAAGCTAACTCTAACAATAGTGAAACTGAAAAGTGAATACTGAAAAGTAAAGCATGTCTTTCGTCCTCGAATTATGAGGACTTACCATTGAAGCTACTAAGTACGGATTGGAAGTAGGGGTAAGTGCGGTCTTGAAGTTGAGCGCCTGAACATACATCATACAGTGATGTAGCACAAAAAGTACACATCAGTACTTTGAATGTACTAAGCAATCGGTATATATGCAAAGCTGAACAATATTAGACTGAACAGGGAAATAGATAAACTGAAGCATAACTGAAAGTTGAGCTGGATGTAATCACCAAGTACTAATCATGAAGATATAACATGTTGAGCTGAATAATGAAATAAATACTAAATACATGGTCAATACAACTTGAATCAGACGGTAAGAGATACTATTAACCAACATAAATCACGTGAGCAAAATGTGGAGTCCGATGTATACGCCCCATCGAGAGGACCCAATATACCTTTCTGGTGTATAAAGGCATGATTGTGGCATGATCACTAAAACTGATGCCTAACAGAGGGCACGTATAAACCTATAGGGGCACGTAGTTCTAGGATTTGTGGGTACGGCGTACCCAAGTCCAACTTAGTTCTAAACTTACTCCAACTGAAAATAAAGCTAAGAAATGGCAACTATAATACCTAATAACTTAAAATACCGATTATTATATGAGAATGCATCAAACAATACATAAAGGTATGACATTAAAATTCTGAAGCATGATTGTTTGACTAATCTTCCTAGCAAGTATAATTCATTATATATTGATAATTAACACAAGCTAGGGTTTCAAAGTTTTATACATGGGACTATACTAATTCTCCAAGAAACATGTAGTTAACATCATAGATACTATAGGAGTTAAATTCCAATGGATCCTATGATTTAGGAACCCTAGGTTGACAGTTTACGGAGAAGCTGAAGAATTGACAAAATTCTAGGGACCTAATGGGTGAAAGGAACACACTAGTAAAATCCCGCATACATAGTGAAGAATACTACGGTGAAATCCTTCTGATTTCGGGGCTGAACTTGAAGAAGATTTCTACTTGTTCTTGAGAGAAAACTTTCGCCTTTTTTTCTTCTTTTCTTTCTAAGTTAGATGATTTTAGGAGAATGAAGTTTTTGGTAGTTTCTGACTAGATTACTAGTCTAAGACAAAGTAAAACGGCCTAGTTTAAGTATCAAACAACATAGTTTAAGTACCTAACACATAGGGGAAAAGACCAATACGACCCTCAATTAAAAATGATGAGGTGACTGGCAAAAGGGACTTCACGAGCCGTCTAAGGCATTGTGGCCTATCTAGTGGATCGTGATGTTGCCCTGTCGTACAGGGCTTCACTAAAATGAGCATTAATTTTTACTCTGGGTTCCAAATTAGGATAATTGGTGGCGTTGGAAAGAGGACTCAAAGACCTTTAATTTTATAGGTCATGGGCCACCTAATTCATGTTCTGCTAAAATATATGATCATTTGAAGTTAAAAACAATCACAAACCCTGATAAGTCCCTTTAATTTACGACTTCACTTCCATTTGAGGCTCCAGGAATCGTCTAGGAATCTGTGGTCCTTCATAGTTACCTTAGGGTGCAACCCCACTGTTTGAGTTACTTGTAAGAACCCCTAGACGGGCCGTCCAAGTCGCCATGGGTCTTCTAAGTGTAAAACCTTGTATCTGAAAAAGGGAAACAAATCAGTTTTGAAAAAAAATGTAGGTGCCAGCACGAGGGCCACCCACGACCCATGGATGGAACCACGGACCGTAGGTGTGGTCAATGGAAGGCCCTGCTTCAGGAAGGTTTAGAGGCTCAGGACCACGGCCTGACCTATGGACCGTAAGCCAGACCATAGTCCGTGGTCGGGGTTCGTTCTTCACTAGCTCAAAAATGATCTATTGATCACCATCG